GACGCTGTTTCCGAGGCAATCTCCTTCGATTCCGGTGAACACGTGCTGAGCTTTCGTCCGTCATATGAAGAACATCATCAGAGCGAGGTATCATCGTCACAACAAAATTCAAGCTAACGAGTCAAGAAAACTCACAATTACAGACTAAAGATATGAATAATGAGGTTCATGATCATCCAAAGTCTACGTTTAACGAATATGGAATTCTAGTACGAGGAGAGTTCTTTCATATTCTTCGACAAGCCATCGGCTTTCACGGCCCGTATGTTCTTTGTATTTATTCGCCTGGGTAGCCGTTGCTGAGGGATATACTAATTAATTTGTCCAACTCCTCGTCCCAGAATTCCACATTCGTTAAACGTAGAATTCGGATGATCATGACCCTCATTATTCATACCTTTAGTCTGTAATTGTGAGTTTTCTTGACTCATTAGCTTGAATTTTGTTGTGACGATGATACCTCGCTTTGATGATGTTCGTCATATGACGGACGAACGCTCAGCACCTTTTCACCAGAATCAAGGGAGATTATCTTGGAAACAGCGTCAACATGATTGTCAAGAGGAATCCGCCGTCGTCTTTTGGTGGAACCGACCTTCGGATCTCTTCACCCAACACTTTCCCTCGAAATGGAAGTAAGCTCTACAATTATAAAACAAGATATTCCTCGAAACCCAACGTTTCCTCGCACAATATAGTTAACTTGCTCGGCCACTAGTTGCTTGGTCGTAGAGTAAAGTAATCAAGCTCGCAAAGAATGTTGTTCGTATATGCTTAGAATATATGAAGACAAATAAAGATGCATATTTCGCAAAAGATAATTTTCTGCACCGACGAAGATTGTCGCATGATACACAATTCATCGGAACCGGTGAACGGTTGGCCGATGTCTTCTTCCCCCCCCCAGCCGTCACAAGTCCTTCAGTTACTGGTGAAGCCAATTTGCGAATCCCTTCCAGCCGCCATTTCAGACGAATTGAAGGTTATGCCAGCGTCAATCTACGGAGGAAGTCTAAGAAATCCAGTTTTTCTTCATAAAATAGAGCAAAAGCGACTTCCTTCAGATCACATTTTTATTTGGATTTACAATTGGGAAGATATGTTTTTGTTGAGCTTACTTCCATTTCGAGTGAAAGTGTTGGGTGAAGAGATTCGAAGGTCGGATCCACCAGAAAACGACGGCGGATTCCTCTTGACCAGTTGTCGATTACCTTTACTGGAAGATTCATGCTGACGCTGTTTTCGAGGCAATCTCCTTCGATTTAGATGAAAAGGTGCTATGCTTTCGTCCTTCATATGAAGGACATCATCAGAATGAGGTACCATCGTCACAACAAAATTCAAGCTAACGAGTCAAGAAAACTCACAATTACAGACTCAAGATATGAATAATGAGAATTATGATCATCCGAAGTCCTTCATATGACCGACGAAAGCTTAGCACCTTTTCACCGGAATCGAAGGAGATTGCCTCGGAAACAATCAGCATGAATGTTCCAGTAAAGCCAATCGACAGCTGGTCAAGAGGAATCCGCCGTCGTCTTCTGGTGGATCCGACCTTCGAATTTCTTCACCCAACACTTTCACTCGAAATGGAAGTAAGCTCAACAATTATGAAACAAGCGGTTCCTCGAAACCCAACTTTTCTTCGTATATAAGACATGTTTTTGCCAGGGCAACCGACGGTGCACTTATCATCTGTATGTTTCTGGTGTTATTGCAGCAGGGGGGGCAGCATTCTTGACTTGAGGGTTTTGTCTACTCATCGTCCGAAGCGCTTGGGCAGGTGTCCGTCAACGGTCCTGTCGACTGCTCAAATGCTCAGACATGCTTGCCCACACAGACAAACACACACACACACACACACATCTAGGCCCAGCCATACTCGCAGGTCAGCTGTCAAGGTCCACATGCATCGGGTCGAAAGGACCTACAGTCCTGTGGAATGGCGAAGCCCACTTCGGCTGGGCATTGAACCGAACTTCTTTGGCTGTTACAGACCAACTGAGCATCAACTCCTGCCTCGACTGGCCCTGCCACTGCCAACAGGTTGGCAGGACTCGAAGGGAAAATGGTTGTCCCGCATCGTATGTCCAGTCTTGCGTTGTTGGACTGGCCGCACGAGTTCACCGCCCATTTCGGCGGAGAAGGAAAATGGAGTGGGGGCCGCGAGTAGAGCCGAAGCGGGAAGAATGTTCAATAGAGCATGAAATAGTATCCTGACGAAGCAGGCCTCAGTCATCACATTATCCCCGATGATGAGTCTTCCGCATGATCGCGTTTTCCGACCCGAACTGTTGCGTCAAATTTTCCTTTCAACGAGCCCTACGACACAAAAGCAATTTAAGCCCGACATGCGGAACCACTTGCGCAGGCAGGCCCGTGCTGAAGGAGGCAACGATCTGGACTGAAAACATGCAGCAGCACGTCAGAATCGCAAATGGACCCAAGGCATCGACGTAGTTTAAGAGGAGACTGGGACAATGTGGAAAGGGTCGGCTACTCTGAATTGGCACTTTGTGTATGTGCTTGTGAAACTGTGATTGCATTCAACCGTGAAGTTCTCCGAAAGTTAAAACTCTTATTCAAATCCGGCTGCAAATCAGACCGTCTGTTGTGTTGTCAGTGCACCACGTTTAAGACGGGCGTCTTAATTGTGGCCAAAGTTGCGAAGAAAAGTTGGGTTTCGAGGAATCTCTTGTCTCATAATTGTTGAGCTTAATTCCATTTCGAAGAGATTCCAAGGTCGATTCCACCAGAAGACGACGGTGGTCTCTTTTTTACCAGCTTCACTGGAACATTCATGTTGACCCCGTTTCCAAGGTAATCTCCTTCGATTCCGGTGAAAAGGTACTGGGCTCTCGTCTGTCATTTGTCGGACATCATCAGAGCAAGATATCATCGTCACAACCACATTCAAGCTGACGAGTCAAGAAAACTCACCGGCAAATCGTTAAAAAAATGCATATATACTCTATATCTTACCTCTTTGATGGAGTATAAAGTCCCTAAATTCTTAGTTCGCTAAATGGACGACTACTTTGCTGTTTGGCAACATGACAAAGAAATGGGTAGACCTCGTTTTCGAAACTTGGTCTTGTGGTCAGGGAGACTAAGTAGAACGCACCTAGTCCGAAGTCGTTCGCCATAGTAGTTGTCATGATTCCCGA